TATTGTCCAGACATACTCCAAGGATCTTTAAATGTTCTTTGATATCGATTAAGGTGCCATCAAACTCCAAATCGTAATTGTATGTTGAATTCCCAAGAATCATTGCTTGTGTCTTGTCCCCGTTGGCTTGAAGATAGTTGTAGTTAAGCCAGGTAGATAGTTTTTCCATGTCTTGATTTAAGACGTGTTGAAGCACAAGAGTGGGGTGTTGCACACAACTTAATGTTAAAAACCACTCACTCCAGACTCTATTTGTAAAAGTTGTGAGAAAAGGTAACTTGATTGAGAGATTTTTAGTTGATCTTACCAAATCAATTTTTCATGTCATGGATAAAGGTTTATGTCACCATTTTTCTTGAAAGAACATTGACAAGAATGATGGAAGCCTTGATGGAGGACAGCAAAGGGTGGTGTCTACATTTTTAAGATCAGCCAGAAATGGAGGGGTAGCACTGGAGGGAAAAGATAAAGAAAGATTCAATGCTATTCAATTGAGACTTGCTGAACTGGGAAACAAATTCAGGTAATTTTGCAGACATAAATATTATATTGAGGGAACGATGTGTTAAATAAATCATTTGTCCCTGATGGGAGCATTCTTGTCGACAGAGAAACTTGCTCCTCCTAGCCAGTTGGGCCTTATGATTTGGTTGGCTTTGTTCTTAGAGTGGAATTTTCACTAATTCAAGGCTGGTTTTCATCCTGAAAATCTCCACTGGTTGGTCTCTAACTAAAACTGCTTGATCACAGCACTACGTAACACTGCGTATCTAGATCTAAACAGATTTTGACGAAGGGAATTTGACGTAGAAGAAACATGGTGACCCAAAAATGAGATTTTTATGTTTTATTACTGTTTACAGAGAATATCACTGAGAATTCTCCCCCATTTTAAACTTCCGGCAAGTTTATAGGTCCCACTCACAGAAATGTTCTTAGAGATGCAATATTTTTAACATAAAGGCTTGCTGTCATTTTTCCAACAGTAATAATGTCTTGGATGCAACAAAGGCATTCTCATTGGTGTTAACTGACGCAGAGGATGTCCTGGGATTACCAGAGTCTCTACTTCTTTTGACTGCAGAGGCAGTAGCTGCCAATGCTCATGCTGGCCAGAAAGGATCCAGGTTTAATTACTTTTTGTTGTAAAATAATATTATTATACATGAATTGTCTTGGAAAGCCCATTTAAGGCATGTCAGAATATACAAACTGTCAGTCAGAGGAGTTTGTGCAAAAATATCCCACTTCCTGTTAATATTGAACTTAACCTTCGTCCTCATCAATCTTTATCACGCCATGGAATGTAGAAGGCCTCAAACATATTCAAGTATTCTGGACTATCTTATTATAATCACTGACAATCCAACTTGATCTTGTAAAGATGTACATTTAGGCTTTGTAAATTTACTACATTTCCAGGAGACTGAAATGAATACAAATAAACAGTTCAAATACATTATTGTTGTATTGTCCTGGCAATACTTACATTTACAATTTAGGTATCTTACTGTTGTGAGCTTTTAACCCTTTTTCTTTCAAGTGTGAAATTTTAGGTTGATTTCTCAGGTTAATGATAATTTTGCTATTGATTCTACCATAATTATTTACTGATAAGCACTTGATATTATAATAATAGCAGTTTACATATACATGTAGTTCTTAGAATGTAATTGCACATCACACCAATGGACTATATTAACCAGTGGATGATTAAATCTAGCAATATTTCTATGGAATTGATAATGATTATAATATTGCATTTTGTTCATCAGTAAAGACTTTGATCCTAAGACAGGACCTTGGAAACTCAGCTTAGATTTACCATGCTTTGAACCGTTTATGAAATACAGGTAAGTTGTCCCCTTCCATCAATTCCTTCAGGCAGACTTTTATGTAATCTCAAGAGCTGTTATCATGAACATCTATCCCTTACTTGGAGTATATATTTTCACAATTTTTAGTTAAAGTATTCTTTGTGAAAACTGGAGGGAATCCCTTATCAAATAATATGATTGGAATGGCCATTCATGCATAAACTGGTAGAGCATGTCGCTTGAAATTTTTGTTTTAAAAATCGTCAACAAATGCACAGTAGAATTATGAGATGAATTTAGTCTTGCTATACAAGATAATGTACAGATTGTGAAGAACCTCAAGGACATAGTTATTATTAAAAGTTTCTTGATTGTGTAACAAAGAAATTACCTCTGGCAGACAGAGAGACAGACAGACACCTAAGTTATTTAATTTACATCAGGGTGGCTCTTTCAGAAGCAAAAGCACCTGCTATCAATAGAAGCCCTGATAAGATGTTCATAAAGAAATGAAACCTTCAATAAATTATTACAGATTAAAAGTGTTGATTAAAAATTTATGTTACACACAGAAGACAGACTTAAGTTAGTAATTTGTTAGCTGATGATGTGATAAGTCTCTGACGGTAAGCACTGTTATGAAATTACCCTAATTTATACCCTTTAAGTTGCACTGCTCCAACCAATCATGTACACTGGAGTTGACACAATAATTGGCTTTTTGTTTTGCTCAACAGTCAGAACAGGAGTCTGCGTGAGAAAATGTACATGGCCTTCATCACCAGAGCTTCACAGGGAGACACAGATAACTCAGGGATTATCGAGGAAATAAGGCAATTAAGGTACTTTGATACATACA